GGCCACTTGGGGACAGGTTCCAGCAGATTCCAGCCAGTGGACTTGCTAGTACCCCAGGCAGCCTTTTGCTACACATCACAGAAGCAGCTGCAATGACTGCTGAGGTTGCTTGGCTGGCAGAAATGGAAGGAAAAAGAAAAGGAAGCAGCTGACCAAATGTTCCTTCCGACTGACCATGGAGCTGCAAGCTCTCAGTTGTCTGCCAGCTGCCGGCTGACCAACAGAGAGAAGCATATCTACAATGAGAGAGTAGCAGCCACCACACAGCCCCTCTACACTCATTCGTCCTGACTCCAGGCAAGCCAACACACACTGCAGTAGAATCTTCCCTGCACACCTTATCAGTGCCTTAACTCGCCATCACAATCACATCTGCAGCTGCCTGCCTTTCTGATGGACAAGGTGCTTGCCCATGAGCACTTCATCAATTATTAAACTATGCTCAGACTTGTTTTGACCACAGCTGCTACGTGATCTGTGATCCCCCATTTTTAGCAGCCAGGTAGGAGGCTTCCTAAGGGTCACTCAGCAGCCCTTGCATAGAAGCCACGGCAGGTGCAGACAACTGGACAGCTTCCGTGTTTAAAGGTATCAGCACTTGTAACACAGAGAGGCAGGCGGACTAACTTGCACCTGCACCTCCGGAAGGCAATGGAAAGAAAAAAAATTCCACGGGGATGACAGCTTCCAGCCCTTGACCTGGTGCTAAAAACAGGGGCCAGGAAACCCAGCACAGCCCTCTTCCCTGCTCCGCAACACGCCCCTGCCTACTCTCCCGTTCAGGACAATTCAGGCCTGAGTGTGACCCGAATTTGAGTTCTCAAATCCGAAAAGCTCTGAGAAACCTCAGTCACAGCGCCAACACCATTCCATACAAGGGGTGGAGGTGCAAGTCCTTCCTGGCCCTTCTCCTCGGAAAACTCAAATCAAGGACGAGATCTCTTGGGTCTTCCCTTGCCCTAAACACACACACATTCCTCACACACAACATACACACTTGCTGACCCCACACCCGTGCACACCGCATCCCACACACACATGAACACTTACTTGCTCACCCCAGCAGGCTAGCCGGCCCCCACAAGGGACACCTACCAAGTCGCACACCTGCACACCTGCCCCTAAGTGTACAGCCACTTGCTCTCCCCACGCCGCGTTCCAGCCCCCACTACACCTGCCCCAGCGCACACTCACGGGCTCGCCCTCCACCCGCCCCGCCGCCTGCCCCCCCGCCCTCCTGACCCCGCTCTCCTGCCCCACGCGCCCCCGTGCCCCGCACCCTGCGACCTGCCGCCCTCTGCACTCACCGGCGCCGGCGCCCCGCCGCCCCGCGCCGCCCCGCGGCCTGGGGCCCCGCCGCCCCGCTCCGGCCCGCGGCTCCTGGGCTGGCCTGGCCCCGCAGCCGCCGCTTCCCGTCACGTGGGGCGGCCGCCAGGGGCTGGCGGAGGGCGGGAGCGCAGCCGTCCCCGCGCTGCCCGCCGTCCCTTGGGCCCTGCCGCCTGGCTCCGCGCGCAGGCCAAAACGGGCCTTACTCCGGGCCTCGGCGTCCCCCTCCGTGTACCGGGTCCACGACACGGCCCGCCTCGCGAGGCGGCCGGCGGGCGGGAGGTGTTCATTCGGGGGGCGCTAAGGCCGCCGCCCCCGGGCGAGCGCGCGGTCCGCGCCAGCTGTGGGAACTGAGGTCTCTCCTCCGCCCCCGCCGCCGCAGGGAGCGCCAGGGAAGCCGGGCTTTGCCTGGCTCGCTCGCCACCCAGATTCTGACACCAACACAGGAGGAGGGCGCTCGGGAAATACCTGCTGAAGACTGAATGAATGAATCCTGGGAAATGCTTGGGCCCGCGGCCGCCTGACCACGCAGGATGGAGGCTCGGACGCGCAGCCGGTGCCCCACTAGGAACTGAAGGAACGGTTGCGATGCGAAGTCCTCTTCCGAGGCGCCCCAGGGCCCCAGGAACTGACTGGGACCCCTGACAGGAGGAGGCCACCTGCGTGATACACTTATTTGAGAAGGGAGGCCTAGGACTATCTTCCTCCTTTTAGGAAAACCCAATTGTAGCTTCCTTGGGGTCAGGCCGCAATGAAGAATTGTAGGTTACCATGAATCCATGAATTCCTCTTCAATATATAGTCAAAGTCCAATTTCATGATGAAAGAATTGGAAAGCTCCCTCCAGAGTTGTCAGTACTCAATTATTAACATATAGACAGTCAGGTTTTCCCAGTGATTTTCATACTTTAGGACCTGCTAGTGACCCATGACCTCAGCTTTCTTCCAGCCAAGCTGCCTATTGTAAAACAAAGATGTTATCCCAAGCCTGAAGGCAGATACTAGATTCTACTCCATGGTCTTCCTTTTCTTTTTTTTTTTTTTTTTTTTTTTTTTTTTTTTTTTTTTTTTTTTTTTTT